CTGTTATTTTACAAATATGCACTTCAAAACTACAATAATAATTGTCAGAACAATGTTTTTTACATTAAGGTAAATATAAATTATAAATTATAAAATTGTAACATAAATTAGTATTAAAATGGCACCAAATGGAAAGCAATCTACTGTCGAAATTAGGCAATTAATAATTAAATTGAATTTCGAAGGTAAAACCGTTAGAGAAATTGCCAATTTAGTTGGAATAACTCAATCTACTATTCAAGACATTATCAAGAGGTCCCATGATGAGTTTAGGCTGGCCAATAAGATCAGAGCAACTCAAGGCAAAATATAAAATGATCGAAAAGAGCGTTCGAATTTAAAAGAAATAAAGAAAAATCCTTTCAAAACTGCAAAAGACCCTAAATTATCATTAAAATCGCGCACTGCGAAAGATGTATGCTTAAATACTATTCGCAATACATTACATAAATTCAATTATCACGGAAGAAGTGCCAGAAAGAAGCCGTTTATAAGTATTAAAAATAAAAATAAAAGAATAAAATTTGTTAAGGAATATTTACTAAAAAGAGAAAGCTTTTGGAATCAAGTTAATTGGTGGTAAGTCATCTTAAACACATTTTCATTGATTATTTTCATTTTTTTAAAAATTTTTACCCGATTTTGCTCATCCGTATCTTATTAAAAAGATATTTTAATTATCTATCAAATGAGTACGTATTAATAACTGTTGAAATAAGATAAAAGCTAGAAAATGACCTTGAAATGAAAGGTCATTTGCTCGAGTGAAAACCCAACTTTGCTCGAGTGGCGCAACGTCATTTTTAATCCTATTGGCCCAAAACTTTATGAATACCATTTTTTTGGTTAATGGCATATTCCTAGGGGGTGCGCTCATTCAAAACTTCATTTTTAATTTTCCCCCTTATAACGTGAGCCACCCTAGTGTTCCATATTGCAGGCAACATCAAGCCTGTTATATAGGCCTATGAAAAAGATTTAGTTTTTGTTATTAGTTATAAAAAAAAGATGGTACCTTCAACGTCCCACGCTGTCCAAGATCACTTCTCTGTATGATTGTTTGTTTGTTTATATATATATATATATATATATATATATATATATATATATATATATACACTTACGGCAATGGTATATTTATATTTATTTATATTTATATACAAATATGATGCACTTTTGTTTATTTCTGGCTGATGTTTTTTATTTTGTGTTTTTTTGTGCTTTGTTTGTCACTGAAATTTATATTTATAATATGCATTGCGCGCACGGTTTCAATGGAAATAAAGAAATAGTAAATAAAGAATGTAAAAGTAAAGCTTTTGTTTTTTTTTTGTTTTGTCTTGATCTGTGCAAGTTGAGGCGAGTTCCACTTAAAGCTTCACTGAAATGTGACTTAGTGAGAGGAGATGGTAATGCCAAATAGGAATAATCAACATAAATACAAAAGGCAAGTCATAGTTTTGTGGAAATAAAAGTAAAGTGAGCTTTTTAATAGTTCATTTACCCCAAGATCAAAACCAAAACAAAGCCAGCCAAAACCAGCAAAAGCAATCCACGAGAAAAAAATATACTAACAGGAATGTGGTGAAAAGTTCTAAAGAACCTTCGGCGGTAAATGCAAAATTAACAGGACCACGAACGGTATAGAAGGATTTTCAGTTAGGCGAACTGGTCTATAAAAGACAAAGCAGAGGCTTTATTCAGTCTCTTTTCCATGTAACGAAAGGTTGTTGTGCGTGGCAGGTGATATTAAATTTCTTAATTCAAAGTGACTGCTTATTCAGTTATTCACTGAAAGTAAAAAAAAAAATTAAAGAAATTTTTAAAATTTTTTTTAATTAATTTGTAAAGAAAGCCTTAACCGCTGAGGAGAAAAAATAAAAGGGAGTGAAATATAAAAAAATTATTTAAGTACCACAGACAAAATTGCTCATATAAGCTCAAATACATCAGTGAAAAATGCACTTAAAAAGAAAAAGAAAATTTATATATATAAAAACACAGAAAAAATTTTTGAAAAAAATAAAAAAAAAAGTGAGTAATAAATACAAAAAAAAAATCAAAATTAAAAATAAGATAAAAATAACAAAAATAAGAACTTTCTGTAACTGTATGTCAGTATAAACTTAATAAGTGCAAGTATTCATAAAAACGGAAAAATAAACATTTGCTTAACTGCAAACGACATATGCCAATGTAATATTTGTGATGCTGTAAATTGTGGAGAAAAGTCTCACTACGCAGCAGTCAAATTAACGGAAACGGAAGAAATTGATACAGAAAACGAAAAATTGTATGAAATCAACGGCAACATTACACACCGTTATGACGCAATGATGTCCAGGTATTCCTGCTGCAAATGATTCAACTTATACAGAAAAATTAAATGTCTGAATTCAAAAAATTTTTGTTTTATATATTTATACTATATACATTACATTACAACATACATTACCAAGAAAACTAATCTGCTATGTAGCTTTATATGATCGTAATTAATATTTTTGTTGAAAACAGAGAAAAACTTTAAAAACGAAAGTGAACACTAAGAAAACATTTTTTTGTTATTTTCATTTATATTGTTTTTTTTTTATTCTAAACTGGTTTATATAGTTTATTGAATACGGTCTAAAAGTGTATTGATAAAAAGACAAAAAATACTAAGGAGAGAATTTCTATATAATTTTTTGTCTTAATCATACATATACACATATATATATTTTATTCCAAAAATAATTTGTAAGTTTCAGCTAGGTCATCAGCAGCTTGAGTGACGTCATTTCTGCAGTTGTGAGGTAAGCTATGAAAACTAATGTTAAACTTGAAAGAGAAAATTTAGTATCTCTGATTAAAATTGTATGTTTCCGCATGTTATTCTTTTTATTATCAGTAATATTTTTTTTTCTTGCCTTGAAATTCCGCGTTCTCTGTATCTACTTAATCTCTGGGTGCGAATTGCTTAAATTTTATTTTTTTCAATTTTTTTATTGTTAAGTTCAAAAGTTTCCTATAGACATGTATATACATTACTTGAGTATCATTATTATAGTCATGAAATATGTAAAAATATGACTTTTGGTTAAAATATATAGAAAAAAAAAATAGGAAAAAATATTGTAATTTTTTTTTTAATATCATATATCAAATATGGAATAAAGATATTGTTGAAATATTTATATACTTATATATATTTACATTGTAATTTTCTCTTATTTCTTTTTTTTTAATATTATAATTTTTTTTATTATTATAATTTTTTTTAATCGTATTGATTTATGTATGTTATTTATAGAAGAAAAATATATTGAAATTATTTACTTTATTTTTATTTTATTTTTATGTCTCTGTTAATGAATATAACCATTATCAATAATTAAAATAATAATAAAAAAAATGTTAACCTAGTTGAACTATATAAAAATTTATTTTTTTTTCTTGGATTTATTTTATGAAGGCGTTGAACAATTCTACTCAGTTTGCAGATAAATTTCTAAGTATCACTGAAATCATTGATTCTTTAAGGTTCTTAAATAAAGGGGTGGTATTAGTTTTGGGATCACATTGTCCTCTTAAGGCAGAGCTACGCGTCAACTGAATTTAAATTACTTCATTCTTTTGTTGAGAGTTTTTTTTTGCTTCGTTGGCTTAGTTTTTTGTTGTTTCTTTTTATATATATATATTTTTTTGATTTTATCGTTTAAAAATCAAGGTGACAAAAGAAGAAAAAAAAATGAAATACTATAATAACAATTGCCAGGCATTATCGGAAATCTTACCGAAGTTTCCAGAGTTGGAGAAAAACATAGCTGTCCAGGCTGGTGCTACCAAGGACGTAGACTGGTGAGTGGAAGGTGCAATATTAGGAGAAATGGAAGCTGCGGGGTTGCCCAGGGGCCGAACCTGCAGCTTAGGTGCTAGCCTTTATTTTATTTTATTTTTCTTTTTTGTAGCTTGGATAGAAATTTTGTTTTTTTTCTTTCCTGTTTTTATTTTTTCTTTTTTTGTTTTGAAATGTTGAAGTTCAGACAATTAATGAAATATGAATTTAATAGATAATAGTTTTATAAGTGTAGGTATTGAATTAGTTATGGAGGTAAATTGTTATTCAGAAATAGTAAGAAATTATAGGTATTTTTTTTTGTTAGAATAAAACATGGCACGAATTATTATTTTTTGTTGTCGTCTTCAGCGTAGCCTTAGTTGCCAACAACCCTATCCCAACACCGGCGAACATACCGGGCTAGCCACCGTGCCATGAGCGGGTTTTGAGGGCGCGAATTTTAATAACAGGCGGACGCATCATTTACTTAGTTGATACCACTGTAGATACTACTTAAACAAAAGTGATGTTGCGACTGCTATCGTGGCAAAAATAAGAGGAAAAAAATGTTTTCTAGGTTATTTATTATCCAGGATATTTATTATTTATTATGATCATGTTTTAAAACCATCGTAATATGAAAGAATTCATAATTAGTTTTTAATTTTTTTGATTTTTTCCAGCTTTTCGGCAATCGGTCGCAATGTGCACCGTAAAGATAATCTTTTACAGTTTTTGCTGTGATAGTTATACTTGATAAACTGGACTTAAATATCCTGTTTTTTAACTTCTCTGCTATCCGTGTTGTTATGAAGTCTGGCACCTTGTATTATATTGCATTATGTATTGCTTCATGGGTAGTGTTGTCAATCCTGTTTTAGTAGATTTGTCGTTTTGGTATGTGCTTTGATATGTGCTTATAGGTTTATAATTTGTATAATCAATTTTCAGTGGCATTATTCTGTCCTTTGTCGAATTTAACGTGTTATTTTGATTGTTTGCTGTGTTTATTATTGTTTCTGTTTATTATTTGCATTTTTTGTCGTCTGTTGTGAGTTATATACTTTTTTATAATATTGTATTTGATTTAATTTATGTGTCGTTGAAAATCACTTATTTTTATGTGTAGTTTACAAATAAAGTTTTGTTAAAATAAAGCTCCAATTTTTTTTGTTTATAGTTATGTTCAAAATAATAATTAAAATTTCATGAAATGAATCAAAACAAATATTGCGTAATAGAGTCATAAAATATTCTTGTGCATAAATGCTAAAACACGCTTCAAATGCTAGTGGGTCTGGTATTACTGGTCATATACGCAATAATCAACCATCAGTGCGTAATTTACACTTAAGACCTCAGCAGCAGTTAAACGTATCAACTATTGGCGGAAATAGTTTTCAAACAACCACAACGTCCACGGTAAATACAACCACAAATAATGGGTCGCGAATATCAACAACAGTCTTAAATATAACAGCTCCTTCAGCAGCTTCATCAACAACAGTTCTACCCAGTGTATCAACATCAACAACAACTCCTCCAATTGCAAATGGGTTAATTAGCAACAACTTACACAATTGTCATTACATAACACCTAATACCAATACGTTTACTTATATTCCTAGTGCCAACTGTAACAGCAATTTAAATAACATAAACAACGCAACGATCAATCCATCTACTTATGGTGGTGGGCCTAGAGAAGCACTAACCAGCTTAGGATTGTTATGTTTAGGTAATAACGCTTATATAAATGTAAAGTTTGCGATATTTAAAATTATTCGTTTCAGTATCATTATTGTTCGCATTACTTTCCTTAATATTCCTTTTAAGGATATCACCCAATGCACAAGATGAAGCCTTAAGACGCAACGCCACTGAAGACTTTGTAATTGTCTATGACGTAACGTTAGCGCTTTGCGCTCTCTCGTTATCATTGAATCTTTGCTGTTTACTTGTCTGCGCAATACAGTTTTTGTTTGCTGTGAAACTTGTAATGTTTCCACTGTTCGATCGAAGGTAAGTTTAAAATAAAAGTATAAAAACCCACGTGCTTTATAAGTAATTTATTTGCTATTTATGTGATAAAAATGGTGATCTACTTTAAATTATAAAATTATATTTGGATCGTGCTTATAAAACCAGTGTTTCAAACTTGGAGTCAATTTCTCAAATGTGCAAACATTTTTTTGTACTTTCCACGAACATGCTAACATACAATTTGAACAAATTTGCAAGATATGTTTTCTACAACAGTATTACAATTAAATACGAACAGTACTTTATAATTACTTTACTATAAGACTATTATAATTATATAAATAGGTTAAGCAAAATCAGTTGGATTCCTTTTTAACTTTCTGAACCACAACGTATTTTTTTTTTTGTTTAAAAGGGTATGAAGTGAAGGAGGGAAATAATGAAATTTTTTTTTATTTTTTTGTGTCTAAGATAGTTAAAAACCAGGTTAAAGTCGTCACTAACACTAATACAAACGAAGACATCACACATGGATGCAAACATGATGACCGATCGATCCAAATGTATAACGGTCTTCGAAGACATTTTCGCACAAATTAGCCAAATGTCTTCAAAGAAATTTTGTGTACATGTCTCGAAGACCATGTCTGTCATAACATACGCATTCGATTGAAAATTGTGCGCTCTTAGTGCAGCTACTCATTTAATTTTTTTTACCCTTTTTTATATCTACTCTTTTTTCAGAGTTCGGAATGTGGTGCACAAAATCGCACACTGCACTGTGCGAGTGGAAATTATTTTTAAAATATGCACACGCACATTTGTGATGTTAAGAACAAAAAATGCACGCACTCAAATTTGTTGTGCGATTTCAAATTTCACATCGCACAAAGCGATGATTGTGCACACAGACTCGTGCACACACATTTGTGCTGTGCGACTGATTTACAAAAATGTGCACAATCAGATGTGCGAGAAAATTTAATGCTCGCACAGCACTGTGCGAAACAAAATTCTCTTTGCACACGAGTGTGTTGCTCATATTACGATTGCACAAATGTGCACAAATGTGCGATGCACAAACGTGCAAAAATGTGCGATTTTGCGTTTGCACCCAAGGGTGGAAAAAAATTACAGGAACTTCACAATTTTGTTTGAAATAGAAAATATTATTTTGTTGCAAATTTTGAAAAAATTGATATTTGCGTTCGTTGGGATCATAATTTATGTTAAAAATTGCATAAATTAACAAATATTTAAAATAATTATTTTTGTTAAGTAATGTTAACTAAAAATTATAACTGTCTTAACCTTATTTGTATTTTAACTTAAAATATTATTTTTTTGTATATTACTTCCCAACTTTTGTGCATTTTTAAATGCAAATTTAGTAAGTGAACTTAAAGTATTTGTTTGGTAAGTTTTGCACCAGTTTGAAAGAAATTAAAACATATTTTAGGAAGATTTTTTTATTCTCAAAAAATATTCCCAATTACTAATACATAGGTAGAGTATCTAAGTTTTATTAAAAAACACGAAAGATTAGGAAAATATTTTCTTGAACAGGTAGCAGGATGCCTAGATTTGCTAATGTGAACTTAAAAAACATGAAAAGGGAGTAAAATTTTTAACTCTTTTGGTAGGACACAACATTTTTAAATACAAAGCAATTAGTTTCCACAGAAATATGTGAATGAATACTAATAATAGATTAGGTAAAATACTATTAAGTGACACTCAAATAAAAAACAATTAAACTATGCCTCATTCATGTTAATCACTTACACCTTAAAGGGCAAAAGCAATATTCTATAGCATTTATTTTAATTTTTAAGTGATGATTAAGTGATAAATAAAATTTTACGAAGTAGTCCAAAATTGATATATTTAATATTTTCAAAGTAAGATACGTAGAACCGATCCTCTTTACTTATAACATTTCGAAACAAATACTCTTTCTCTATCAAATTCATGTACCTATTTAACTCATATATCATAAACTATTTATATTTTATATTATAACAAAGTTTTCAAGTACATTGTGAAATTAACTTTATTCCCATGTTTTAAATTAATAAACCTTAAAATAATAAGTAATATAAGCAATAAATGTAAATCTAATAATAAATTCAAAATTAAAATATAAATACAAAATTATTTCTTCAATAAAATATTTCGCATTAAGACCAAAATTAATACAAATCAGTTTTCCGTACTATTTTGCTGCGATATTTGTCATAATATTGTGCGCTTTTAAATCATCATTTCACACAAACGTGCAGTAGACATTTCGTCTCCGCACATTTGGGTGCATTTTTATTTTCGAGTCTGCACACAAAATGTGCTTCTCGTATTCTTTTCTGCACACGTTGTGTGCGAGTGCTGTGCGAAATAACTTCGGCACAAACACCGAATGCGTAAGCGAATTTTATTTCACTCCACCACATTCGTGTGAAATGTGCGTTTTGTTTGTGCGCACAAGATGTGCGCAAAAATTTTGCACACCACATTTGTGGTGTGAAATTTTATTTAGAATCGCACAACATTTGTGCGTGATGCTTTGCATTTTTGTGCACAGCATTGTGTTTTTGTGAACTCTGCTTTTTTTGCGCTCTTTACATTTTAACTAAATTTCAATTTTTTCTATAAATAAGCAAAAAGAAATTTATGTTGTAAGAAATTGTATTTTTATTTATTTTATATAATAATTTTTTACATTATATTTGAAATTTAACATTATAAGTTTTAAGATTAAATTAAAAGTAAATTATAAGTTTTATTATAAATGATTAAATAATAAAAATTAACTTAAATTATAATTCCACAGGTTTATTACAGAATCACTGAATGGTTTTCCATTTGTTATGCTTCTGTAAATTGAAAAGAAATGTTATTTAAAATAGCAGCTGTTTTAAAAAAAAATATTCTGTAAGTATGGATACTGTAATGGATACGCCCGCAAAGATCTTTTTCCTCTGACACCGCTCTATATGGGACAGAGTTATACTTTTATTAAAGATGGCTTCAATATTTGCAACAGAGTGTAAGCAAAGCGAGACTATTTAGATTCATGTTTTGAGCAATTGTTTTGCAAATTTATTTAAACATGCGAACGCAGTATCAAAGATCATCTCGAAGGCAATGTCTTCGAACATCACTTTTTTTACTATAATTATTTGTTCGTGTCATTGGCTGAGTAGATAATATGTTTGGCTTTTGCGCTCTTCTTCTTTCGAGTTTTGTAATTTGTCTTGTTTTCGATTTAATTCTTAATGTATGTGCGTTGGTGTTGTGTTGCCCTTTTTCACATTTTTTGATGGGCATACGTTGTATAATAACTAAGAGCTCTGCAGTCATTATTCATTAAGTATACCAATAAAAACAAAGACAACAGACCTTAAACTCCGATTTGTGGCGCAAAGCAATTATTGCATTACTACGCTGAAGATAATATAAGATTTGCAAATCCGAAAAATGAGTATTAAGATTATACTAATAAAATAATAATAAAAAAAAATATAATAATAAATATAATATAAAACAAAAAAAAACCAAAAAATCAAAAATAGAAATTTAAGACTAAGCATTTAGAACAGATAATAAAATACTGTAAACAGCAAAGATATCAAAAAATAACAATAAAAAATAACAACTAAGAAATAAAATTATGTGTCAGAACGGGTGATGTTAAGATAATTCATTAAGTTTTTGCAAAGTAAAAATGAACAGCGCGGTCAAAACCCTTAAAAAATCAAGTGAAAATAGATATGTGATCATGATTTGATCATAGCTGAGGTGAACCAGGTAACAACGAATTGCATCAGTCACGTTACTCTCACACACCTCCGAGAGTAAGGAAAGAATGCTAATTGGACGATAGTCGAACATAGCGATGCATTCGACTTTTTTCTATTGGAACAAAAATTATTCCAATTTCCTAGCTTGAACTAGGAAATGTTAAAGTAGTAAAACAGTGATTAATTATATATGTCAGAGAAGATACAATTAGTTGAAGACTAAGTTTTAAGAATTTCAAAAGAATTGTATCAATACCAATCGCATTCGATTTAATTTTTATCACATTATTGAAAAGCACTTCTTGACTAACATACTTGAAGATAAATAAACCTTCAGATTCGGCGCGATCAAGAATAAGAAACACGTAATTAGCGCTCAAACTAATATCAACAAACGAAACAAAATAATCATTTAAGTTATTGGGATCTAAGTAACATAACACTTCGATCAATAATGTGTGTGACTAACTAACACTTCGTTCAATAATGTATGTGACTAACTAATTAAAACACATTTTTTTGCCAAAATTCGTTTTTATTCATCAACATAGTCCCCTTTTAGGGAGATACAATCATTCCAACGCTTTTGCAATTTTTCGATACCCTTTGTAAAACGATTTTTCTTTGCCTTCAAAATAGGCGTTAGTTTCGGCGATTACTTCATCA